TGGGGATTACAATTGAGATGAAAAAAAAAATGTGAAAAATGATGTAAAAATAAACTTTTTAATAAAATAGAAAAAAAAAGAAACAATACCATTCTAATTTTTTTTAGTTTTTCATTTAAAAACAATATTTAACACACTTAGTTATTATGTAAATGAATTGCTTTTTAAACTTCTCCATTTTAATTTATAATAGAGTAGATATGAATTATGTATAGAATAAATATGAATTATGTATTGTATTACAATGTGTTACAATGTATACCTGTATTAATACATTATGTATTAACATACATAATGAAGATTTTGAAATCTTGATTACAATATTTACTTTATTATACACTAAATCATTAGTCCTGAGACCAAAAAGTATAAAAAACACTGTCCCAAAGCAACTATTTCATAATTGAGAGGGCTTAGTTTTGCTGTCACTCTACCACAGTGCTATTTCTACCATAATGTGGATCACAGACTAACATCTAAGAGGCTGTTATCTAACATTATTTATATATATATTCCATAAAAGAAGCTGGAAGCACTCAATGATTTCAAGAGGCAATTTGTTTTCTATAGTCTCCAATTTCCTCAGCCATTCTTCATTTGTATATTCCTCACCACCCCATTCTCCAAATCCCACCTAGTCATACTTTGCATACTCATTTACTGGTGCTTTTTTTCTTTGTATTCTCAATGACTGGTACAACCTCTAAACAGGACAGGAGCTTTTTTTCAATTATTGAAGTATTTCTTAGGTGGTTTTCAATTATTAATTTTACCAGCAGATCCAACAGATGATGACCAACATATTTTTATAATAACATAGAATAAAGAAAAAAGAAAACATCAATAAGGAAGGACTGATGTCACTGAAATTATGTCATGAATAAGTTTTTGCTGCTATGCGCTATAGTCGAAAAACTTTCAAAATGACTGCTTCAGACCACATTTCAACCATTTATGCCTCCATGATGGTCTATTAATCAATCAAGAATTTTATTACCTACTACCACAGAGGGTATTTTTGATATAGTTCTTTAGTTCAGCAGAGTAGCTACTACACATTTTTACCTTTATGAACCTGAGCACTTTCTCATTCTTCAAGCAAGGGTTATAAGTCAGTATTCTTTGGTCAAATATGGCCTTTGTTATTCTGCTAAGTCTTTAAAATTAATCAGGGTACACATCCTCCAGAACATACATTTCCCAACTGTCCAAATTATAGTGCACTTTCACTATTTCACAATTAGATATCTGTCTAGGTAGAACATGCAGAAAGATAGAGAAATGACAGATAACTTGTCACACAAGTAAAGGTAAAAAACATATATGTAACTCTTTTTCACGATACTACTTACTATGTAAGCAAAAAGTACCTGGTAATGTGTGCTGCCCAGACACCATTGTAAGCAGCTTCTCTTGTTCTTCCATGAGTCTTTGTAGTTGCTCTAACTGTTGCCTCTTCAGTTGTTCCTGCTTCTTTTGCTGTACTTCTTTCAGCTTTTAAACAAAATTAACTTTCTTAAATTTAACATGTTTTTATGGGCCATTGTTCTTTACATTTATCTTAATCCTGCCCATCTTTCTACTTAAGAGTTTTTCTGATAGAGCTTCAAAGAGAGATGTCTAAATAACTAAGTCTGCTAACAAAACATTGAAATCTCAATTTTTATGAAGAAAATTCTGTCATCTATCTCACCTAAGAAACAGTCTTATGAATCACTGATTCTTAAAATAGGAGAGATACTAATACCTATACATTAATGACCAATTTCCACCCCTAAAATTTAAATCAACCATTTCTGATTTGGATTTTGTCAAATGAGGCAGGAATTTAAAAACATATTCGGTGTCATTTTATTCCCTACATCTTGCACAAGATTTTATGTTTCACATTAGACAGAAAGCAAAATTTAGTAAATTGAGGTTTTCACAATATAGTGAAATAAACAAGAGGACATGCAACCATAAACATAAATACTTATCATGCCAAGTCCTGTCTTACCTGTTCAAGTTTTATAAAAAGTGGATCCTTACATGCCACTTCTGTGAATTCACTCCCAAGATCTGAGTTAAAGTCATTTTTGTAATCTTCCCAGTGTTCAGGAGCATCCTGACATGCCACTACTTGTGATCCCTTTCTAGCCAAAGGAAAGACTGTATGTGTTTCAGATTTATCTGACTGTAGTTTGTAAGGGCTATTACACTCCAACTGGTGTTCTTCACAAAGTGAATCTTCTTCATTTACAAGGCTTAAGTTATTTGAAAAGTGTGTGGCTTTATTAGAAAAGCTTGTAGAAATGTTCACAGCTGCTTGTTTCTCTTCATCTGCTTCCAAAATAGGAAATCCACGATTTAAAATGACCCCAGCTCGAGACGGACTGGTCAGCCACTGGGTTAAGTTCTGTCCACAGTTTAACTCTGAAGAGGTTGGCATCAGAAACATTTTAGTCAAGTGACACTCTTATATTAAAATAATTAAATAGCTAGAAGAGCTGCTAATTTCCAATACCTATAGGAAGAGAGCCAATAAAAAATATTAGTTTTTCTACCCCAATCTCAACCCTGCACAAAAATCTACTGTCTCCACATGCTAAAGAGTTTAGCAGAACAATAAGGAATTAAGTTACATGTTTTGTTAAATATCCAAATTTGGCCCTCCCTGGTGGCGCAGCGGGTTAAAGCACAGCACTGAGAATCTGAGGCCACTTCCGCATGAGTTCGATTCCCGCCTGCCGCCTGCCCGGAGGAGACCACATGGCGAGCCAGACCTCTCCTGGCCCGCCCGCTGCTTCCCTCAGCAGTGTACTTCGTAGATCTGCCTGTTCTCTGTCTCTGGTGAAGCCTCTCACCGCCCCTGAGCCTCTGGCGTGTACCCCAGCTCTGTATGCACAAATAAATAAATAAATCTTTAAAAATAAATAAATAAATATCCAAATTTTGTGTATTAAGAAACTTAAGTTCTCTTCTGACCTAATCATCAATTACTGATAAGTGCTGACACAAATGACCTAGAACTACAGGAGCTAAAGCGCCTTCTAAGTTATTCAACTACCAAAGGAGGAAAAAGTCAGTATCAAAATCACCCACATTAAGTACTTCATGCTTCTAGCCCTAATACAATATTGTCTCTGCCTGACTGGGGATCTCAAGTTCAACCATGTTCCAAAACAAACCACCCCACCGCTTTATCTGGCATTCTTTCCCATCTCCCATCTAACCTCTCACATAACCAGGCATTCCCTCATCAGTAATCTTAGAGACCTCTGTCTGACAACACTATTTGGCACTCATGTTTTTGGTGGTATTTTTCTCTTGTGTTCATAATCTACCAAACTCTGAGCTCTTTAAATATACCTGTATGTGTGTCACTGACTAACATCATCCATGCCTGGCAGATAGAAGGAACTTGATAAATGCTTGTTGAAATTAAGTCAGAACTAAGGTTATATTACTGAAAATAAATTCAGTATTACAGTATTACTTATTGAACACCATTGTCAATGTTCAACAATAAAACTTACATTGTTCAAACCACAGAATTTATGAAACACTACATTTATGAAACTACAAAAAAATTCCTATTATTTCTCTGTCACTGTGCAATTGATAAATTTATACAGGACATAAACAGAGAAGATAAGCTCTTTCTCCTTTGTATGTCTATTTCATAAAATGCCATCTATTGAGTTATTATTCTGCCAGAAACTGTTTTAGTCCCTGGTTATAAAGTAGTTAGGTAAGAGTCTAGTGGAGAAAATACACATACACACACACACACACACACAGAGACATGAGGAAACTATACAATGAGCTAAATAGTAGTAAGTGCTCCTAAAGAGATCGCAAATTTAGGTAGAGTGGACAGGGAGGCCTCATTTAGAGGATAAAAATTAAGGATGAGGTAAGAAAAAAAAAAATGAGTCTCTGGTACAGCTATAAGATACAGAGTAACACCAGTTAACCAGACTTCATAACCTTCCATACCAATGTCCCACTGCCCCTAGGAAGTCACCAGTCCTCACAGTTCATCACTACTATCTACCTTGAACTCTCTGAAGTTAAACTCTTTGTGCGTTATAAACCAATTTACATCAGTCACCATAAGAAAGCCCAATCCCCTATATCACCCATTATGTTTTAATCTCTACTCTCGGAGCAGGTGCCTTAGTCTGTCTCCATCTCCCAATGCCAAAACACTCATTGACCATCACCAGCAAATACCTCTACTAACTGTAACCTTTTCTCTGAAGATTCTCTCACTTTCTTGAGAACAATTCTTCCTTTGTAATGCATACTCTTGTGCCACTGAGCCTTGAATATGCGCTTTCCTAGTGGGTCTCTTTTTCTTTGAGACTCACCCTTTCTCCACCATAAAAAGCTTTCTAACCTTTTATGATAACACTATAATCAACTCCTCCCTTAATGCCGACCAAACTTCTAGTGGTTGCTGGCATCTTCTCCCCCTTAATTCCTAAAAAACTATATGACCATACAACTGGAAGAACAGAGTTGCTCAGCCCATGATGAAGGCTGGGGACGAAAAAGATTTGTGTAGTGAGAGATCAGGAAATGAATTTAATACATTTAAATGACTATCAGACATCCCAGTAGAAACACTATATAATATATAGGCAAGTGGAATTACAACAATGGAATTCATGGACAAGGCCAAGACTGTGAAGCATCAATACAGATATCATCCTCATGTAGATTTAGTCTTAACACTGGATGAGATCACTTAGGGATTGAGAATAGACAGAGACATATAATGTCCTTGAAGATAGATGAAGAAAGTGTTTCAAGAAAGAAAGGGCTGTGCTCACTGGTGTTAATAAATCAAGGATGAAGTCAACTAAGAACTGATCTTGAAATTTAGCAAAATCATAATTACTAATTAGAGCATTTGTGTTAGGGGGTAGAGAACCCTAAAAGGTTATACATGGCAGAATAAAAAATTGAAGACAGTTGGGGCCTCCCTGGTGGTGCAAGAGGTTAAAATGTAGCACTATGAAATTATCAGTAGCCAATGCAGCACAAGTTCAATTCGCAGCCAGGAAGGTGAATCACTTGGTGCAGCTGACCTCTCCTGTCTCACCTACTATTGTCCTCAGCTGTTTATTTCAGTCCATCTGCCTAGTCTGCGCCCCGCTGTCTCTGGTGAATCCTCTCATCCCCTGCACCTCTGGCATGTACTCCCAGTTCTTGTTTGCATAAATAATAAATATTTTAAAAAAAAACTTGAAGACATCAAGTAAAGCTTTCCGGTTTTATTATAAAGGGTAAGAAATAGACGGTAGCTACACAGAAAAGTAAGGTGAAGACAGTTTTCTTTTTTAAAATAAGGAAGTAAAAGTTTGCTTGTAGGTTGATAGGATGAAGAGAGGAAAATTGAAATAGCCATATGTCCAAAGGGAGGAGAGATGAGAGGCTCTAGTACTAAAGCAGAATAACATTAGTACTATTTTTTAGACATAATTTCAAACTTTATCAACATAATACGACAAAATATATATAACTAAAGGAAAATGAAAAATGGCAATTTGGAGACAAACACATGAATTTAGAGTCCTATTTAGTATCTAAAAAACAATTATACAAAAGATGTTAATAAAGAAAAAGAACTCCCAAACACTAAAATGTACTCATCCTCAACTCAATTAAAGAAACAATAAAAAATAACCACATATCATTTCTCATATACTGGATTGTCAAAGACTAAAAATATCGCCCAATGTGAAAAATAACTTTCATAAAATGTTACTTGGAAATGTAAAGTAGAACAATTTTTTGTAGCACAATTTGACAATATCTACCCAAACTATAAATATACAAAAAACGGACCCAGTTCCATATCTAAGCATTCTGTGCTATGCTGGCACAGATTCACAACATTTGTAATAAACTGATACTAAACTTTGATGCCTATCAGATGGGTACCAAATAATTACGGTATTCATAGCATGCAACTGTTGAAGAGAACAAGCCCATTAAATATTGATATGAAAGTAACCAAGATAAATTGACAAAAGCAGAGAAGCATATAATAGAACAGAGGGGAAAAAATCACAATTGAATATACTTGTGCTATACAATGTAGTAGCCTCTAGTTACATATGGTTTGAAATATAGCTAATATGACAACTGAAAAACAGATGGTGTTACTTTATTAAGTCAAAATATGGACTTAATGGATTTTTTAAAGCAAGAGACTGCCTCATTCCTCTGTATGACACATACTGAAAATATTTATGTTTCTTTTCTGAATGCCTGGGCGAATGCTCTAAATCACAATGGATAGCACTGCTGAAAGAAACAAAAGACAGTTAACTAGGTACTATTTTTTGCATTGCTCCCTTGTTGAACTGTAGAAGAGTTTTCCGAAGTTACTGTACTATGAACTCCAACTAAAGACTTTCTATCAATAAAAGGAATGCTTATAAGTTATTTAATAACCGAAGACAAAAATGGCTGGGTGATTTTTGTCATTGATATCACTCTTTAAGTATCATGTCTATTTAGGCATTTTTTTAAAAGTTGCTACAGTCAGTAATATAGATAAGGAATATTACAGTAAAGGCTAATATGTTTCCATTTAACATGAAGTTCATGAATAGGCAAAATAAATCTGTACTTACAGTAGTCATGGTAACTAAGAAGTTGGGGTGGTAATGCCTGAAAAGGGGGCTTGATAATGTTCTTTATCTTTGTATGAGTAGTAATTACACTGGTTTAAACGTATGAGCTGTACACTTAAAATTAAGGACTTTACTGAATGTTATTTTTGTTGTCTCTTCTAAGGAAACTAAATCATACCATTGTAGAGTTGGAAGACTTATCTGAAAAGGATTCCATAATCATCAATCAGTTGGCATCTATATGATCTTAGCAGAAATATAGTGAAATGCAATTTTAGAAACACAAGGGAAGGTTATTTCATAACATCAGAAACTAACGAAGTTCCCTAATACACTAAAATGTGCAAGTACCACCATTATGATGCAACATTCACACATCTACCATCCATCCCACATATACAAAAAAAATCTATACTCCTTCATTTCAATTTCACGAAGATGATCCCAAACGTATATTTATTGTCAGGATAAAGTGTAAAAACACTTTCACTTTAATCTGCGAGTTAGTTATTATAGTAAGGATCTGGTAATGGGAGTACCTGGAGCAAAATGCCTTGAAAATATCGTGTGCACTCATATTTTCCAGATATCAAAAACTACTTGAAACAAAGTGACAGACTGAAACCTCTGAAGAGCGCTAGGCAAACATTCTTTACAGCAGTTGGGGGCGGGGGGGGGGGGAACACTTTAAGAAAATAGTGTCCGAATCGTTAAGAATAGCAGATGCAGACACCATTCGAAATCATCTTCAAAGCATGGGGGTAAACCTAGGCGGCCTAGGAGCTTTATCAGACCCCCACCCCACACCAAAAAATGCACTTCCTGAAAGGCACGAATCTACAAAAACCCTCAAAAACAAAAAAAGCGATGGACAAGGATGAAGGAGACCGGCGCTCACGGAGGCCAAAAAAAGCAACAGCACTGTACGTTCTTCTCCAATACACTGCACCCCTGAGCTTCTAGCAGCTCACTGTGCCGTCAAAACCACAGGGCGGAGAGACCCCCTGAAAGTTAGACGGGTTCCCCCCAAAAGAGTTAACCTTGGCCAGGCACGACTTCGGCCGCGGCCGGAACCCTTCCACAGCCGCGTCCTTTCTAGATACAGAGCGGGTCTCTCCCGCGCACGCAGCCTTGGCTAGGTGCAAGCGTTAGACACATCTACAGCTCTGCTCCCTTCGCCCGCTAGTTACCGCTCCGTGGGCGCCGAACCTCTCGGTCCACCAACCTGAGACCCAGCAGCCACGGCATTTACGAAAGAGCCGCCACAGTCAAGCCTCTGGCCAGAGCCCGCCCCCTGGTCCAAGTCCGCATCCGACGCTAAGACACTTGGGAAGTGTAGTTTTTTTCAAAGCCTAGTACTCTGCGTGCGGCGATCATAGGGCCCATGCAAACTACAACTCCCAGCAATATCAGAGAGACCGGAGTTACCTCGGTTCGAGGCCTGGCGCCGTAAGCCTGGGGAGACCGCCTAGGGACTGGAGAAGCGGGCGGCAGGGCGGGAGGGAAAACCGCTACCAGCGCGATCCACCAGGTGGAACTGAACTCCCGCCCCGCCCCCACTCGGCCCGCCGCGCCCCGCCCACGCCGGGCCCCGAGCCCTTTGAAGAGCTTGGACAGCGCGCGCCCAGGCGGTCGATCTCAGTGTCCTCTCTGAGGTAGGGCGCACGGGCTGCTAAGCTCACAACCCAAAGGCTGCCACATTTTAAAGGTGATTTTGGGGGAACGGGGTGTGGAGTCTGCTTTAGAGTTCCTGTTTTGTTTTGTTGGCCCTTTTTTTCCACTTTGGATGTGACTTAGTAAACTTTTTTCAGATCTTGTACACTTTCAAAAAGCAAAAGTGGTGGAGGAGGAGGGAGAAGGACAAGAACAGGTGTGGGAAAAGCACAAGGAACTACGGTGATGGTGTACTGGTGAAGGAGTGGTGGGGTGTCACGGAGAAAACAAACAGTACAAAGATGAAGGCTGATGTAATGAAATATTTTAAAAGTTAAAAAAATATATATTCTAAAAGTTTAACGTCAGAAAATAAAGCAAAGGTGATCACGTGAAAATTCCCTCACCAAAAGGTCATGGCACATCTTTTGTCTAGACTAGTGCGTGTTGGGCAGTGTGTGTCCCTAAGTATTGAAACTATTTGAACATTAAAAGTGCAGGATTTTGAAAATGTTTTCTTCATTGCTGCCACAGCATGTGGCACAGTCTTAGCCGGCACAACATGTCAACACAGCAGACAGAACCCACCTACTTAAGGGCTTTAATGAAATAGCAAGCCAGGTAAAATAATCAAGAAACCAAATGAAGTACCTTTATGACAATGGTATGATAGCTAAAACTGCCACTACTAAAAGATAATTAAGGAACAATTTCACAAAAATTTGGTCCTCCAAAAATGTTTTTGTTACCTACATTTTTTTCTTTATTTTTGTTTTCATTATGGAAAAATGTAACTAAAGCTCAAGACACATAACTATGTAAGATGCCATACAGTTCCAGAGGTCCTGTACTCTGGGGCCCTTGGAGTGGCTGTTTTGACCACCCTGACTGGGTGCAAACCACCTGTTTCTCTCCCTTCAACCCCCAACTACAGGTGGGGACTAGCTGTATAACACAGTACAGAACTCTGTCCTCCTAAGTCTAAAAGTGTTTTAGCATTGCCTTTGTCTGAATTCTGCCCTTGACACCAGAGGTAAAGTGCTGCTGAGAAGGGGTTGGAGCAGAGCAGACATTTTAAGGGGGCCCTTCAAAAGTGAAAGGAGCATGTGAACTCTCATGGGAGCTATTGGGGAGGTGGAAAGGATATGCTTCCTGCTCCCCCTCTACAACTGCCCTCATCAGGAGAAGCAGCAGTAGCAGCCTTTTGCAACCCCTGTGGTGACAGGGCTTGGTAAGACTTTGTCCCATGTTGTTGTAGCCCTCAGTTACAAATGCAGCAGATTTTGCTGCACCCTGCTTTCTGTCTCCCATAGCTGCAATTGTACCTTGCACTATCATCAATAACTAGACGTCCCTGTTCCTTACCTGCTAGTTGTTTCCTCCTCTACCCTTGTTAGTTAAAATAAATTGGTTTTTTTTCCTTCATCAAAGGCTCTTTTGATTGTTTTTGTAAGCAGCAAGTGGCCAGACTGAGAGCCAGTGAGAGAGGTTCTGATCTGGTCACAATTTTTAAATTCTTTGCCTACTAGCCCTAGTAACAGATTTTTGGTTCCCTGACCAGGAATTGAACCCAGACAATGGTGGTGAGCATTCAAATCCTAACCAACAGACCACCAAAGAAACAAAAAAATACATATTTTAAATGGTGCTGGATTATAAAACTGGTAACATCAGTTGTCCCGATGACTTCTCTGACTTATGTGTGATTACCTCTGCACTAACTTTGACTGCAACACCATCTGAGTGCTCTACTGCAAGAGTGGTTTAATGATGGAGCTCACCAGCAGTTTGGTCACTAACTCAGAGAGTTGATTTTGCCCATCAAGGTAGACTGTGCCAAGAAGCAAGAGTACCACATTATTGTGCTGATAGATGAGGTTTCCAGGATTAGGATGAAGACCATCCCTCTCCCATGGGGAGAGGAATATCCCCAAATTATTTACAGCTCTGAACTCTACAGATTCTTGAAGTATATTGAGAATCAGATGTTGCAAAAATACCTCAACAACAGACCCATGCACCTGCCTGGGCTTCTCAGGGCCTGGCTCTACTTCAGGGATCTTCAGCCAACTTTTTCCTTCCTGCCACCAGAAACAGGCCCTAAACTACCATTTTTGGTTTGGGGCAAATTCCCAGCAACTCAGCCTCTTGATCTAGTGCTCCCCCCACTCACAACTCTCCCAGCCACTAGAAGAAAGCAGGAAGTGCCTCTGGAAAAGCTCTAACACCACCCCAGATCCTACAGGACCGTAGTAACTGTGCCAAATGTTGTGCTGGAACGGGGCACACTACCCGAAAAAACTAGTCACACCGCTGTAAAGAGGAAACTTTATTGCAAGCTCAAGCTCGGACCCAACTGCACCCCAGAGGCACCTGGGTGGTAGTATTACACAACAGCAAATCTGTTACAGGACAGGGAGAGAGGCACCCCTGAAGCCCCAAACCTGCCTGCTCTAAGTGGGTTCTGCCATCTGCTGCGTCAAGACAAAACATATAAAACTTTAATGAAAAGGGACTTTAATACAGTAAATATACAATATGGAACACAAAGAATATAACTTCTAAACCTGAAGTTACCCATCCCCTCGTGGGCAAAAGTCAACCCAAAAGGGATTGGCCCAAAGCAAGGCCTGAAAGCCCACCACAAGTCTAAAGCACCTTCTGGCCGGGACCCATCAAAAAGGGTCAGAAATGGCCAGACAAATCTGAGAGGAAAAGAGAAAAATCAAAATCAACATAAACACTGCCATAGTCACCTCCCTACAAGTATCTCACCCACATCTTCCTTAACCAGTCCAGGGTCAGGAAACAAGCACGGTTTCTTCATCACATGCTTGCAGCTCAATGTGCTTCCTCAGGCTTCCTTCTTGTTCTCCATCCAGCTTCCTTCTCTTCTCTCCTCTCCTTTTTCTCTGCTCAGCTCCACCCTCCTTCTGGGGCAGGGAACCTGGAACTTCCCCTTTTCCTAGGGACTACCCTGTTACAGTAGGAAGGGCCCTGAGCGTTGTAAGGCAGAGTTTTATACGGTCCCCAGGGGCAGACCTGGGTGCAACATGGGTCACTGCCTGATAGGTTGACCCTTGCCACCTTCATATTTGGTACTGTTATAGGGCACCTCAATTCAGAGAGAGGCACCCCTGAAGCCCCAAAACCTGCCTGCTCTAAGTGGGTTCTGCCATC